TCTATACTTCCACCATTAGTTATTAGTAATTTACTTCCATGTGATTTATTTTTTCAAATATATCCATATCCACAAAAAATTCGACTCAGTCCGTATGAATCACATCGTGAATATGCACTAAATATTGGCGATGCTATTGATTTACTTTTTGCTACAGATCTTTTTCATATGATTAAACCATTACGTGTACCATCAATAAATGATTTAAATCTTATGAGATATCATCATCAACGAATAGGTTTTTATGATAGTATTGATCGATTGTTATTAGTCGATGTTACTATTGTTTGTTCTATTCGACATCGTCTAAAAATATCAGTTTCTGTTCCATATGTTTTACTCAATAAGAGTGGTATGTTTTTCGTAATATCAATTTTGTGATTTTTTTTTTTTCATTTTTCATTATTAATTTATATTAGGTATCCCATTAATTTTTAAACAAGAAGGTTCATCGAATGAAACAGCTGGTCAAACTCATGAACATGAATTAGCTCGAAATCGTGAACCGTTATTATTTTCATTTAGTGATCAAGAAGCTTTTCATGCATGTGTAATGAAAGTTGGTTCAGGTTTACATAAAAATGATGATGGTCGTCCAATATGGTCACAACATTTTACTTTAGGTAAAATTCTTCTTTCACATTCGTTCTTTATTATGAAAAGCAAAAGAATTCTTTTGATTTTGTTTCTAGAACATGGTTCAAGTTATCGTCAATTACATGTTCGTTCTCCTCATGGTTCACCTGATTGGATTTATTATATTGGTATTGATATTCGTCAAGGCAAAGGACGTTTACGTCGAACAAATTTCATTTTTCTTAGTACACGATATATGATTAGTAATCAATGTTCATATGATTTATCCATTGCTCAACGACATATTGTTCGAGCTATGTTACAAACTGGTGATCATAGTGATTTAGAACAAAATTGTTTACATGTATTAAAACATTCGAGTGTTGCTTATCATTGGCCAAGAAGTGATCTTGATCAATTGTTATGTGTTCGTGTTATTAATAATCGTCAATATAAACATGTTTATTGGTCCGGTGGTATTCCTATTAATCATGTTAATGCATTTCATATTAATCTAAGATATGATAATAATCAATGTTTAATATTAAGGTACGTTGAGATTCTCTAGAACAAGCAGAACAAGAAACATTACTCATGTCGTATGAAACGCTCGGCAACTGCCAGTTGACTGTGATCTATCCTCTGACAAATCATGATTCTTCTGCTGAGTTTTTTTTGATAGCTAACTGCATGAATATTTTTAAAATTTTAGAAAAATGTTAGTTTTTACTGAAAATTACACTTCCTGACAAATGTGAGTATGTCCATATCTTCTCTATCAACCGCATTAGCTGTTTTCGCTTAGTTTTTTGAGCTTGATTATTTATTACAAATGGTAGCCCCACATATTCATTAGTAAGAAAACTGAATCAATTGAAAAAAACATGGTACCACTTGATAAAGGTTATTGTAACATATTAAAGATGACTTTTCTGTGTAGCAATCGAGCTTTTCAAGATAAAAGAAAGTTACTTTAATAGAAAAATCATAAATCAGCTTGATTAACAAAAAAAATTAGTAAATCGTTCGAGCCGTCGATTTTATTGAAAAATTGACAACATGAGAAATGTATAATCTAGTACATTTTTGCAAAAAATATTTTCATTTTAAATAACAGACAATAAGCGATGAACATCATTTAGCTTTTGTGAAATAAAATTTAATAGGAATGTTCAATCAAACAGGGGAAATTTTGGATGCCACACACATGGTGAGAGATGCTAGTCAAAAACTATGGTGGACGCCTTAGTAGAACTTCTTCTTCCCACTGTGTGGATCCAGTGAACATTACATGAAAACACGAAGTAAACTTTTTATCAGTTCAGATAGTAATAAATATACTTCTAGACATCTTCCATCTGTTGACATACAATTTTTTGTTACAAATATCAAGTAGAATGTAGAGCCTAGTCATACAAACTTAGCTTCGAGAATACATCTGTCATTAAAAAGATTATGTTTTTGTACAAGACTCAGTCGATGAGGAAGCACAAGCAGCACATATTCGTGACTGGTTTAGTGTTCTCTCTCGATTCGTAAAGAAGAAATTTCAAATTGAGCTAATAATATTTTCTAAACAAGAAAGTTTCCTCAAAAAATTGTTGGCAACGGTTTCTCTCAAGTGTATTTTACGGAAAAAAATCCTTGTTTTCAAAAATGCTTCATTTTCTTACAAATGATATTCTTTTAATGATATGCGATCACTTTTGAACAAAAACAGAAAGGCCGTTGTTGAGAACTAAAGTTACATATTCATCTGTAAAGCGGAAAAGGTACACTGTCTTCCCTCTTTATTACAGGCCGTATGTCAATAATGTCCTATGATAATAAACAAACTACTTCGTATTTATATTTCTGGAGAGTTAAATAAAAGTATGGTGAAGAAATATGCCATAAAAAAAAGATACTTTCTCTGCTTAACAAAAGCAGTTACATTATGTTTTACATTTCAATCTCTCAGGGATTATGCTAACAACTTTTGAATGAGTTAATCTAACTTGAATTAGTTTTTGAGAAATGTATAAGTTACATTGTTTTTATTATATTATAGAGTACAAGTAATTGAACGTGGTGGTACATTTTTTGTTGTTTTTATGGATTCTAATCAAATGCCAGCACCTCTTCGTATTAAAAATCTTTCTGATGTTCCTATACAATTTTATCAGAGTGAAACACGAGAAGAATTAACCTATTTACGTGCATTTATTCAACCACATCAAACAATAGATTATGCTTGGGATGAACCAACACTTCAACAAACAATAACATGTTCTGTTGTTGGTGGTACAAAAGAAACTTATGATTTACAAAAACTTGGTCATGGAGAAAATTTATGTTATGAAAATCATATATGTTTAGCATTTGAACAAACATTTAATGAAGGACAAATAATACAATATCAATCAAAACATTCTTCACAAAAATCTAAATCAATTAATGATCGACATACATTTCATTTATTAAATCAACAACAACTTGTTATTGATTATATTCAAGGTAAATTAGTACTTTCACAACGTGAAGAAAATAAACGTTCACAATTATGGCGTATGACAAGTAGAGGTATATTAGTACATACAGGTTCATCATCACCACGTGATTGGAATAATAAAAATGATGTATCGGATGATATACGAAATTCATTTGTGTTAGATATTGAAGAAACTTCTGCAACTAATTTAAAGAATGTTCATTCTATGACACGTTCTATACGTTTAACTATTCGACGATATGATCTTAAACGAATATTAACACAAACATGGACATTTACAGATGATGGATATCTATGTATGGGAGAAACGCAAATGTGTGTACAAGTATTTGGTGAATTAAAAGAAAAAAGTGAAGTAGTACTTGGACCACGTCGTTTTAATGATCAAGGTGTTATACTTCCACCATTACCAACAATGTATATTCGACCACGTCGACGTTTACAAGGTTCAGGTCTTTTATCTGTACAAACATATGCTGATGGTCCAACACGTATACTTGAAATAGCTAATGTTAAAACAACTAATTTATCCGATAATCTCAAATTAGAAACATTAACATCAACAACAGATACAACATCACTAACAACTGCTGATAATATTGCATCCATAACTTATCGTTTTGATCTTCGCCTTGAAAGTGGTATCGGTCTATCAATAATTAGTTCTATGGGTCGTGAATCTGAAGAACTTGTTTTTATGATATTTAATGATATTAATCTTGTATGTAAAGATGATAATAATCAACAATCCATTGATTGTACGATTGGTACAATAGTTATTTCAAATCAATTATTAATGACATCAACACCATGTTTACTTTATGCACCTTATGTTGAAGATACATCTATACGAGCAGCTTTTTGTTTACAAGCAAGTTTACAAAAACCAAGTGCTAATTATAAGTAAGTCAAATTATTCCGAAAGTCTTTTTTTGTTTTTGTGAATTATTTTTTGCGCAACATGATCTCAAAGGAATGTTGAAGCATAGAGGTAAAAATGTGAATCTACCTGTTCTTACAGGCATGATAAATATCCTTAGCAGTAGTGTCTTTGCTTCATCACAGATTGTACCAGTTATTTTCTCCAAACGAGAACCTGAATCAAACCATATTTTGAAGAGTAACATATCCGAAAGATGACCCTAAGACAAAAGTCAAAAGTATGATTTAGTTGTCAACATATCAAAAAATCAATTTATTAGGTATTCGATGAATATCTTATGTTCACATACATAAATAACTAAATAGTGTTCATAAAATATTTGTGTAGTATACCTTTGTGAATATGATGCTGATAACACTTTTGTAGGATACCACAAGCAGTGCACGATCAATCTTTTAAGCACAGCTGGAAAGTTTTAAATCTGTTCATCATTGATAACGAAAGTATTAAAAGTTTCAACTGAGAATATAATTTTCTAAAAAAATAAAAATGATGAATGAATGATTTCTCTATAACTTTGGAAGACTTTTCCTGGACTCTTTTCTCTTCTGGGCAGAACCATACGAAAACGGTACCCCTACACTTCGTCCCCTACTTTTCATCCCGTTACTTTTCGCCCCATTCAATTCGTCCCAATTACATTTCGTCCCATTACATTTCGTCCCCTTACATTTCGTCCCTATTACATTTTGTCCCAATTACATTTCGTCCCTTTTCAATTTGCCCCCTTACAATTCGTCACAATTTTATTTTGTCCCCTTACATTTCGTCCCATATTGTAACTATTCATTCTCAGTATAGCAATATGAGATAAAGTTTATTTTAATAAATTTAACTGCTTTAAAACTGATAAGTCCTTATCACATGTGAATATTACCATAGAATCATCTTCATATAGAATAAAACTTTCTCCTTGATCAGTTTGTCGTAATATTAAAGGTAAACGACCATTATGATCAAGTTGCATTGCTGGTCGTTAAATCGAATCGTTTACAACAATGCGCCATTTGTAGGTAAATCAGTAGTTATAGTTAATGGAATTGTCCGTAATACATCAAATAGTATCGTACTAGCTCCTTCATCTGATGATGCACCACGACTTTTAATTTCATTTTTAAGTCGAATGAGGTGCAGCCGATCTGGATCAGGTACATGAGAATGTTCAGATGGTTCTTTGAGTAATACTTCCATCTGAATATTCGTTTGACAACGATCAAAAAAATATAAAGCAAAGTTAAAAGATTAGATTTAACGATTTACACTTACTTCTACAATTTGGATCTTCGCAACGAAATATACGTTTTTCTTCTGTTATTCGATGTTGAGTGTACAAATATTCTGAAAAATATATCATTGAATTTTCCCGAGAACTCTTTCATACCTCAATAGTATTCATATTTTTGTTTATACTATTTGTACAAATTTGTACAAAATGCCAATAACTACGAGCGCACGTGGTTGAATGACAAACAGAAAATTAATCTCGATAAATATGTAGAATAGAAAAAAAGGAATATATTCATTGTTCATTGGTCGTTTATTATCGCGATGATTAATAGACGCGACGATAAGTATTTACACGATATTTAATTAAAATAACTAAAAGTTGATCTTAGCAAAGATATGAGACGAATTGTAATTGGAACGAAATGTAAGGGGACAGAATGAACTTGGGACGAATTGTAAGGGGACGAAATGTAATTAGGACAAAATGTAATTGGGACGAAATGTAAGGGAACGAAATGTAATGGGACGAAATGTAATTGGGACGAATCGTGTGGGGCGAATTGAACGGGACGAAATGTTATGTACCGAAGTGAGCGGTCACCACGAAAACTATGGCAACGTTGTCTTTTCTTCGCGTCGGAGACTATATAATGATAATGTTTTGTTAAATTATTTACTCATTGCCTTTCTGGATGATTAAGTAAAAGGATGATGAACAAATATGTTTCAAAAAAGATAGAATAAAATAAGCTTTCTGTGATTAACAACAGCAACTTCATCATGTTTCATATTTTAATTCTCTACAGATTTTAATAACAGATTTTTATCTCATGTTTAGACAATTATACATATTTCATTATTTAACTATTGGTGTAAATTCTATTACAATTAAAATTGATGAAATTCTTCTATGGAAATTATTTGATTTTTTTAATATTAATTTTTCTTCATCATCAAATGATAAAACATTAAAAAATGAAGATCAAACATATGATTTAGATGAAGGTGAATATGATACTCAACGTTTATTATCATTATTAACATCAACACAAGCAACAAGAATTTATTTTTATGAATTATCAATATCATCCATCGATCTTGATTTAAGTGTTTATTGTGCTAATTCACGTTCATTACCAACACATTTATTAACAATAAAACGTCGTGCACCATTTCCTTTAATACGTTTTGAAAATGCACCAATACATTTAAAATCTTATGATCAGATACATATATTTAATACATATGATTTCTTTTTACTTGCACTTACAACACATTATGTTGATGAACTTAAACGGCAAGCATTTAAAATTTTAGGAAGTGTTGATTTTCTTGGTAATCCACTTGGATTATTTAATGATGTAACCGATGGTTTTGCAAGTCTTGTTGATCATGGTAGTGTTGCTGGTTTAGTTAAAAGTGTTGCACATGGTGTAGCTGATTCAACATCAAAATTTACAGGTACACTTTCATATGGACTTGGAAAACTTGCTTTAGATGAAGAACATGATGATATGCGTGAAGCTATTGCAAATAATTATCGTGGTTCATCAATTGGTCATGTTATTGGTGGAACAGTAGGTTTAGCAGCTGGATTTATTGGTGGTTTAACATCAATTATAACACAACCATATAAAAGTGTTGTTGAAGATGGTGTTGGTGGTTTGATGAAAGGTGTTGCAAAAGGTATTGTTGGAACAGTAAGTAAACCAATGGTTGGTATACTTGATTTTGCAAATGGTTTGGCATTAGCAGTTAAAGAAGGTTCACGTTCATCAAATTCCATAATTAAAAGTCGTATACGAACAACACGATGTCCAACAAATATCTATGGACTTCTACAACCATATTCAACAATTGATGCTAATGGTCAATGTTTATTATATCAAATGAACAAAGGAGATTTAACAGAAAGATATATTACACGAATAACTATTTCACAAACACCTGCTAATTCATCCTCGAAACGAAAATTAGATAATGTTAATAATGATGAATATGCACCTGATCAACGAAGTTGTTGCATGCATGTATGAAAATTGATTTCATTTTTAGAAATAACAATTTCTTATTTAAATTTTTTTTGTTCTAGGTAATGATTACATCTCAACGTGTAATTATCTATCGAACAGAAACTAATCAAGATGAATCAGATTATGAAATAACTGAAGTATACGATTTTAGTTCCATCATAAATGTTCTTGTAATAGGTTAGTATATTTCTTTAAGTTTCGGAAGAATAACTAGGCGAAAAATTTTCAAACATTCAAGGATTGATAGATTTGTATATGTGGACGAACAGCTATTAACAATTCAGAATCTCTCAATAGTTCTTCGCTTACAGATGTTAATCTTTTGAGTTTATGTTGGACTGACAAGGATGCCTTGATAAGACTAGCAAAAGTTTCAAAGAGTTCGTCGCGAAGAATCTGTGAAGCTAATTTATGATCATTCGATTGAAGTTTCGACCCATTTTTTGCAGTTTACTGGAAAATGAATTAGAGTATTCTGAAAATTTCAGCCAAACAAAAATATTTTTTTGTCGAGATGCTGAATTTCGGAGTCAAGTCAATATTTGTATCATGTTTGTGGCAAACAATCATACTTTGGAGATTGATTATCTCGACAAAAAATGTTCTTCATGGTTAAAACTTTCAGGATATGCTAAAGATCATTCGACTTATCTAAGAGCAAAATTTTATATCAAAATTTTGTTTTTTATTTGTCAGTAATTATATAAAGTCAAATCAAAAATTCAATAAAGTAATCGTAACTCGGCTTTCAAAACCTATGAAGACGAACTTTCTTAGTCTTTTTTTAGTCTTAATGAGATTTTCTTATGGACCTCATGTAATTTCACACGGGAAGCATTAGTTCGGTTACTTTTCTTGTTAATAGTAGACGAAGGACATTTAAATTTATTAAATAATCGTAATAAATGAAAGAAAGAAAAACGAGAACTTAGGATCGAGAAAAGAACTTTATTTTAAATTCTGTTTTCTTGATTTAGAGGATGAAAACCGTCGACCATATATAGAATTTCTTCATAATCAACCTCAACGTTCGAATAAAATAACAACAATAACGACAAGTGGAAAGCCATGTCAACGTTCTCTACTCCGATGTGATTTACATGATCGAGCAATACGATTAACTCGTGATATTCAACGAGCTAGAGAAATTTTTGAAGAAGAAAAATTTACATATATCCCACCAGATGATGAAAATAATGATGAAGATAATGATGATATCACAAATGAGCAACAACTCGATGAAACAGTACAAATGACTTGATTCGAATCAATCATCAATAGTCTTCCATTGTACAGTATATTATATATATATATATATATAATAATAAACATATCAAATCCATGTTTTGTCTATTAATGTTGAACGTTCGTGTGTTTATGATTCCGTCCGTTTTTTCGTTTGAATGTCTATTTTTTTTTTGTCATGGACAACAAAGTCTGTATGTTCTTTTTTGTGTTGTTTATATATTTAAGTTGTTCAAGACAATACATTGTTTATTTTTTCGTTTGTAGAAAACATCTACTATAATTTTCATAATGGTGGCTTTTTTTTTTAAGATAAACAAAATAAATAATTTCAAAGAAAATTATAATAAGTTTTAGAAAAGAATAATTTTTTTAAGAAGCGATGGATGTAACAGCATGTAAAAAAATTTTTGATTTATGTTCACAATCATTGAGTAGTACTGAGGTTAGTTGTTTAGATTTTTGAGATAATTTAATAATAATAATGTCGTTGTTTTTTTATAGAATGAAAAATTCTTTGAAGCTTGTCAATTACTTTGTTCTGTTATTCCTACTATATCTAATGTATGTTTATCAATTAATCTAAAATTATTTCTTCGATTATTCGTATACATTCATGTTTTGGTTAGGATGTATTTCAATCGTTACCAGATAATATCTTGCTTGATAGTCTTGGAAATCTATTACAATGTCGTCTTCGTAAGTTTTCAATAAAAAGAAGATCTAGAATTATTAATCATATATTTATTTTTATTATTTTATAAGGAAACGAACAGAGAGCTATTCTTATTGATGTCTATGCTTGTTTGATAGAACAGCATAAATCTGTTTCATTTCTTTGTAAACATAATAAAAATCTATTTATACTATTGGTTCTTCTATGTGCTGTTGAAGTACGTATGATGGTTGAGAATCCTCAAATAAATGAAGTAAATATTATTATATTTTTATTGATATAACTCAATAGAACTATTGTTTTCGTTGATGATAGATTTTAGAACATCAACAACATCTTGCTGCTTGTTATTTGATCATTGAATACACTATAGCTGCTATTTGTCAATCCGATGAATTAACTGATGATGATGTTTCATCGGTTCTGTCTAAATTAATTGAGATGTTTCATGGTTGTATCTTTCTCATCAATCAAATTATTGATAATGTTGAAAATAAACAAGTAAAAATCAGCTGAAATCATTTTATTTTTATCAGCAATACGTTTTCTGTTAGACATTTGACACAGTTCTTCAAGCAACTGTTCGTATACTTGGCATTTGGTTAAGTCAAGAACCAATAGCTTTGAAAACAGTTGTACAACCTCTTTTAAATAAATGGATGCAATATGGGTAGAAATGATTAATTTTTTTTGTTAATTATTGTACTGATCTTTGATTCTTTTATTTACTTTAGACTAAATTCACCAACTTGTGCTGAAACTTTTAAAAAGTTTCTTGAACCAGCTTTAAAATTTTATGAAGAAGATTAAGATTCTTTATTAGTAACCAATATATCTTCATCTACTTTGTGATTATGCTTATGATTGAGTTCTTTTTCTTATTCTCGAGAAGCAGTGCTCCAATCTATTTGTAATATAATACTTTCTTTTCTGAAAGAATAAAATAAGAAAATATCACTTGAAAATACAAAGTTTGCAGACAAAAAGAGAAAGTTTTTGATCGCTCTATTCTCATAACTAACAATAGGAACTCCCATTAAACAAAAAAAGAAAAACATCGATGTATTGTTACCTATCGAAAAATAATGTAGTCAATAAAAAATAAATTATCCATTCAAGGTAAGTAATTCAGTACATATTATTCTAACTTCTAAAATGTATAACCATCGATACAGATTTGAATTAGCTACTCTAAATGGTATTTTTCTTTGTTTAACAAAATACTTTTAATGACATACATAGTCAACTTTTTATCTTAGTTTACACGGTTTAGACTACAAATTTCAGACGAATAACATGAAATTTATCTAACAGACCCTATCATCATATTTGGTAGAGTACATTCTTACTTCGAATCACTAGGATGTTTAACTTTTTTATAATACTCTATAAACAACAAGTTAAGATCTCGGCCTCTCGTAAAAAAAAAGTCAATTATCATCAGAATTATCAAAATCAACCTGAGAGAATAACCCGAGACCTGATGTTCTAGAACATGACAGGTAGCTAGAAACTCGTTCGAACTCTGTCAGGGAGATCCATATGTCGAGATGATATAAAGGTTCTTGAATTTTCAATATGAATGATCTATCATTCCTCTACAAGTTTAACCTAATGGCATATATGTTGTTGCATACTCTAGAGAGTCACATTGAATATTTTCTTCAATGTTTAATACTTTTCGATAAAATGTAACTATCTTGTCATAGTCTTTCATTAATCTATCAATACCACCAATATCAATGCAAATGATAGTCTGATAGGAATGTGTTTCACGTAACGTTTTTTGCCGTGTTACAAAGGCTTTTTCAAAACAATACAATGCCTTTGAGTAATCTCTTATACTGCGATAGACTCTTCGACAGTAACGATATGTTAGAGCAATATTGACATGATTCGAAGGCAGAGATTTTTCCCTTACTTACAGTGCTTTTTCATATAATTCAAGTGCTTTCGAATAGTCATCTATATGATCATACGCTTGAACGATGTTGTTGTAGGAAGTAGCCAAATTAAAGTGATCTTCCGAAACAATAAACTGCGTGATTTTAATGCAATTTTCGTCAAATAAAACGGCTTCTTTGTATTGTTCTTGGTTGATTTTTATCCATCAAATCTGGTTACATATATATATATATGCTTTATAACTCTCGTCGGATATCTGTTTCATAGTCCGTTATACGATTGTTTGGCCTTGTCGAATTGACCTATTTTCAGCAGCAGTGTACTAATTTTGTACCATCCGGTGCCGTTGACCTCTTCTCGTATACGATCGAATACTTGGCCGAGTTATTGATCATTATAAGATGTAAGTTGAAGGTCCACTTCATAAGGTGGGTTTTAATTGTCAAGTCCTCGAATGCCACCAATTCGAAAAACGTCATGCATGGAGAAGAGGATTTTCTCTTCATTCTTGAAATTAGCTTTCCTCATGCATGGAGGCAAATTGAGCCCATGAAACAGCGCGATTGATTTTTTTACTAATGAATAAAAAACTTTCAGTGATACAAGTTCACCTTTTTTTAGTGAGTTTTCGGAAGTCTACTTTCGATAGTTCTGCTCTCAAAAGACTAGAAAGATCTGCCCGTGGTCTTGACTGACCTGTTTATTGTGTAAATATTCAATTTGTCAATGTACATCACACAGATGGAATCCCATTCTGATTATCATGTCACCGTCTTATGTTCATAATGCTTGATTGAGCATTGTACACGTGAAGCATTGGCGTATATATCACCAGATGCCCTTTGATGGATGATAAATGTGTTCAAATTCATCAATGTTTTGATTTCTTGAACATTACCCTAGTACTCCTGCTGCAATAGAATGACCAAGTTTTTGATGGCTTTTCGGCCATATTTCATATCAAGGAGTATTTTCTTCAATATTTTGGAGTACATGAAGGATGGTTCTATCTGACTGAGACTTTCGCTAGAACTTTGTTTAATCATACCGATAATACTATTGACATATTATCTTGATGACATTGGCTGACAGCCGGTTCCAATGCTTCACATATTGATTTGATTGATGGTATCAACACCTTTGATTGTTGCTCAATTTTTTTCCATACTTTATGCCTTTGTTTGTTGTCACAAAATATGTAGATGGCAATCAATTGTGGCATGCCATGAATGTTTGGCACTAGATGTTGCCCAAGTGCACCTGAGGAGATAGCAAATAATGTCTTCTGAGGATCCTCATTGAGTTGTTGAATACATTGTTCAGTTGTGGTGCAAAAATTGACTTAGTTTACGACACCATGCAATCTTTATTTGTCATGTTGATATCTTCATCGACCCAGATAACCAAGTCATTTTCAACCATGCATTTTTTCGAGGTCGACTTATTTTCGATGTAATGTTTGCTGTTTGATCGATAATCTTGTGTTTGAATGCATTTGACTTAAGAGGGACTGTTCTCCCAGTCAGAGCTTCTGAAGAACACCTCGTCAGAAATATTTGAACCGTTTAAAGTAGATAGATCTCGATGAGTAGAGCAAAAATTATATTCGACTCTAAATTTCTAGATATTTCCTTTTAAAAAATATCCGGATTGCAAAGGCTAAAATTTGCCCTGCTTTTTCAGTCGTAGAACGTTCAATAGAGCTGATGCTTTGTTTTTTTTGCAGATACTAGATACTGCGCTAAATACCTACTTTTTTTTGCTTTCTGTTTATCTCCTTCTATTCGCATAAAAAGTTCAAACTAATGACTATACCTCCAAAAATAAATAGTTTTTTTTTAATGAAACAATCCAAATATCAATAGTGCAATATTTTTTCAAAACAATAAAGATAAAAAATTGGCCATGTTCAGTAGTGTTTGAGATTCATGACTTATGCTCTCAGCATCTTGGGAATCAGAAATACACATCATCATTAGAAAAATTCTGCATACAATGAATAATCGCAGCAGAAGTTTGTCTGCTTGAGAGTTAAGAGTTTAGTTTAATAACAGTACTAATTTACAAAGAAGAGCTCTCAACTATATGATATTTGACAGAGAACACTTTGCAGTTATATTAGCGATGAGAAATCAAAAATTGAAAAGTTTTGACTCTAACATCCGGAAAAGGCAAGATAGGAGGTCGCCTTAAACATATCGATTTATTTTATCTACAAACAGCTAATTGAGTCGCACGTAAAAACAAGCAAAGAAGCCTTCTATTTCTTTTAAATCATTAAATAGAATTTTAAACTCACTGCTTAAGAAACCACAGTTTTTATTAAGTACTCAGATGACGCTAGTTGACATAACTGCAAAAATAGTCTTCGATTTGTGATTTGTCACATGAATATAGTTATTTATGATTGAATGAATGAAAAGCAAAATAAGTACCTATGACGATATGGTTTGACAAAAGTCAAATTTATTTTCATTTGCATTGTCAGAAGTGACATTCATAATAAATACTAACAACATTTAATTTCGCCCATTATGTCTGACGACGTTTCGGATTTAACACCGATGCTTGGTTCAGATACTGCCAGTACTGTAAGTTTTATTGAGACTTGAATTTTTTTTTATTTTTTTAAAATTTAATTATTTAAGGCTCTTATTATACATACACCATCAAGAGGACAAAAATATAAAAATGCTATAACAATGATCGTTTTATTTCTTATTAATTTATTAAATTTTATGGATCGATTTGCTATTGCAGGTAGTTTGTTTTTTTTTTCGAATAGTAATGGAATTATGAATTTATGGTTGGTCTTCTAGGTGTTCTTGAACAAATCCAAGATTATTTTAACATTGGAGATGCTGAAGCTGGTCTTCTTCAAACAGTTTTCGTTTGTAGTTATATGGCTTTAGCACCTCTTTTTGGTTATTTAGGGTACATAGAAGAAAATTTAACAAACAAGCTAAATCTATTTATGTATTTTTTTTGTACAGAGATCGATATAGTCGAAAACTAATGATTATCTTAGGTGTTACTCTTTGGTCAATTACAACTGTCGCTGGATCATTTGTACCACAAAATGTAAATTTCTTTTACATATAATATAACATTAATTTAGTATATTTGTTTCATTTTATTAGTTATTTTGGGTTTTTGTATTACTACGTAGTTTAGTTGGTGTTGGTGAAGCATCGTATTCGTGTGTTGCACCAACAATTATTGCTGATATATTTACACATGATATGAGAACAAGAATGTTAGCTTTTTTTAATATTGCTGTACCATTAGGCGGGTAAGATAATTTTTTTTTGTTCAAGATTAGTTTAAAACATGTTTTACTCTAGTGGTCTTGGATATATTGTTGGGTCATATGTATCAAAAGCATTTCATAACGATTGGCGATGGGCTTTACGAGTAAGTCATTATATTGATTTTTATTTGATAATCGCATTTTGTTTTTATGCATTTTAGGTAACACCTGCTCTTGGTGCAGTATGTGTTATTTTACTTATTGTGCTTGTTACTGAACCAGTGCGAGGTAGTGCTGATGGTGCTCATATGCAAAAAAGATCTAGTTGGGTATTTGATGTTATACATGTTTTTAAAATGTTTGTTGAAATATATTTTATAAATTAAAAATTTTAATGCCTTTTTTTTATTTAGTAAAAGTTTTATTTTAATAACGCTTGGATTCACATGGGTAGCATTTGCATTAGGATCACTTTCTTGGTGGGGACCTATTTTTCTTCAAAAAGCTCATATATTAGCCAATGGAAGTGAAGATCCAAAAGATAAAGCCAAGTAATTTTTTTTTTTCTTCTTGTTTATAATATAATTTTATTAATTTTTCTTTTGTCTAATAGTGTATCACTCTATTTTGGTATAGTAACATGTGGTGCTGGTGTTCTTGGTGTACTACTAGGAAGTGAAATTGCTAGACGGTATATTTACATGAGAAAGTAAAAGAATAGAAATTTTTCTTTTTCTTTTTTAGTTATCGAAAACGAAATCCGCGTGGAGATCCAATTGTCTGTGGTATTGCAGTTCTTCTTGCAATACCATGTTTATTTTGTGTACTACTATTATCTAAAGATTATATAGTTTTAACATGGATCTTTATTTTTATTGCTGAAACATTACTTTGTAGTAATTGGGCACTTATCACAGATATGCTTATGGTTGAGTTTTACTTTTTGTTCTTTTTTTTTATTTAATAATGTTTATGTTCATCTTTTATAGTATATTATCATTCCAACAAGACGTTCTACAGCTAGTTCTATTCTAATTTTTGTTATGCATCTATTGGTAAAATTTTTATAATTAAAAATTTTCTTTTATAAATATTTTTGTAATAGGGTGATGCTTCTAGTCCATATATAATCGGCGAAATTAGTGATTTTTTTCGAAAAGGTGCTGACGATAATTTAACTCAATGGATATCATTACGCAATGCTTTAATGTTAACACCATTTGTAGCAACACTTGGCGGTGCAGCTTTTCTATTTGCAGCAATATATATTATTCAAGATCGTCGTCGAGCAGAAGACACGATTGAATGTATGTATATTTAATGTTAATTTAAAAATTATTTTAAGTGGGAATCGTCTTTGTTGTCATAGCAATGAAAATATCGGATGATCTTGCATTATATGAAACAGCTTAATATGAGAATAGATAAAAGTATATGTCGCTCATAATTTGCTCTCATCGATTGATTGCTTATATGCGTTGAATTTAATTTCCCTAGAGACTTCAATACGTTAGAGATTAAATAGTTCCTTTCTTCTTCCATATTACATGAGATAAAACTCACTTTTTCTTTAAAAACAAAAATCATGTTTTGCTTTTTTTTTTGTTTGTTAATTCTTTCCAGGTTATCGTTATCATTCAAATTGAAGTTTTACAGCAAAGAGTTTTTAATGAGGTATGAATCGAATTTTACTAAAGAAAAACAACTTGCGTATTTTTTTTTTAAATGCTATTTTAATTGAATAGTTATTGCTATTGTATTTTATGATAAATTATTTTACACTTGAATTTTAATTTTATTTATTTATTTATTTTAGCTGTTGACAATGATTTACAAATTTGATTTTTTATTAAACATTTTCTTTATTTTATACATGTGTATCTAAGATTTTTTTTTTGTAATTTCTTATTTTTTCTACAATCAAATGGTATGAACATGGCAATAAATCATTTATTTTGTTATGTTTTTATTTTCTTTGAAATTAATATTCAAAAAATTTTCTTTAAGATGGAATATTAGATAAGTAGTTATAATGAGTTCACCGAAAAGATCACCACGAACATCAAAAGAAGTAATTGAAATAATAATAATAATAATAATACATAGACAGATAATACTGTTGATGTTTTATGTTTTAGGTTGTTGAAACATTATCATCTCCACAAGAAATTGAATTACGTGAAGTGGTAAGAATAATCATCTGTGTTTATTATTTATTGAAATCGTTAGGACTGAGTAGCTATGTTGTTTGACATGTATTCGCTAGATACTATATGCAAACTCCAGTACCACTAATCACTGAATGATCTTGGAAAAGCTAATTGTCTTGGATCATACCTATTCGATTGCACACTGACTAATGGATAATTGGAAAGTATTTTCGACAAGTCAAAAGTTATAATTTAGGATGCTTCTTTCGAATATGGACTTAGAAATTTTGTATCAGTTATTGTTCAAGTGTCATGAAATAGTCTGTGAAAAGTCAAAAAAAAAATAGTCTAAACCACAACGTTTGTGTATTTTCACTATTGTGATTCGCAACTAAAAGTTGGAATCTTGATTTATATATCCATTGGTAGATTAGAACTGACTTTACAAAATACATTAATTCAAGATTTTTTTAATCTTGTGATAACTGTTTTATGTTGAAAGAAACTCTTGAAACAGTGCTTGTAGTCGCACTTAAATTAAAGCTACAACTTAGTTCAATATTACGTTTTGTGACGACGTGTCCATTCTACATAATGAATCTCTGTGTTAGACTAACCTACTGTTCAGAGCTACAGCTAGTATTAGTTGTATGAGAGATTGTGGAATATCAAATATATCGCTAGACAGAAGCCCTTACTATAAGGTGATCGAGAGGCAGAAATATTCTTCCTGTTATCCAATTATTTATTGAATTGTCTTGTGATATTTAGAATCAACCATTGTTACCTTCAAATAATGAAATTACACGACCAACTGAACAGTATGATGAAAGTAAGAAAATCTGATATGATATTGAAGATAATTATTGATAATATATAGCATCACCATTTCCATTAAATTTGGATGATTATGGAATTGAACAACCTACTGTTGAATTTCGTCCAACAACAGAAAATGAAACTGATCTTCGACAGCGGCCTCGTCGTTCCGCTTCATCCAATCGATCACCTTCACGTCGAAATGGTGGTTTAGGACAAATAGCACGTGACTTTTGGGCTGAGTACAGTTCTTTTTCTCATTTGAAAAATATTCGTCAGCTAAATTTATCATTTGTAGTTTAATGCCTGCTGATAATCCTAGTGCAAGAAGATTACCAATAATAATTTTTATTATTTTTCTTGTAATTATATTTCTGATAATTCTATTCGTAGTACTTGGCTACACGAGTGTTGAATATGATGAAGTAATCATAATATTTTGTTTTTCTTTTTTAAATTTTTGATTTCATATGAATTTTTTTAGTTTGGTGTAACACATAATTTATGGACAGGTGTTATGGATTTAAAACATCCATATTCAACTGGAGTTTATTTAATATTGCCATGGAAAAAAATGATTAAATTCGATAAAACAGCTCGATATCTCATCTTTGATGATTTGACAATTTTTACTACTGATCAAGCTAGTGTGATTTTAGATGCTACAATAGTCTATCGAATAAGGTATACAAATATTTTAATAGTATTTAGAATAAATAAACTACTAAAAGCTTCCAAAATGTATTCATAATAATTACCAGTCCTAAACTTTTTTCTGTTTAAATCAATTATTCATTAATTGAAACTTTGTATTTTCGAATTAAATGATTGTTTTTGTAGAATAGCAAATGAGAACATCTCTTTTCAGGGTATTAATAAAAATAAAATGCAATGGATTTTGAGCCGCTGTTCATTAAATATAACAATCAACTGTTTCTTCGTTAATATAAAATTGTTTTCTATTTACGTATTCATAGGAATCATTTTATCGCATTAAAATATTGTATCAGAAGTTTATTTATGAAATCAAATCAACGACATCTAATATGAAATAATGCTTATGAAAGAAATCTCAAGACTATTAGAATAGTCTGAAAATTTTGCATAAAATGAATATGAGAAAATTATAATTTTATGACACTCTTTGAACATTGGAAAACAGTCTTAATTTTTTTCAAAATATACTTTGTTATATATTAGTTTTTAGATTCAATGAAATATCAGTTTAAGAGACCTTTCAAAAGTTATAAAGATACAAATCCATAAAAGATCAAGTCGTTCTTCTATAAAGAAAACAGATTGGTTATTTCAAAGCTTTTTTATACTGTTGCTTACGCTTTATTCTATCGACCTTAGTAATAAAAAGCTATTGCTTAGTGACCAAATGTTGAGTAGCTTAGAGGGTATAGTTATCGAGACAAAGGTTATGCAATCTAAGTTGTTTAAACAAGAAATATGCGGCAAAATCTTCAAAAGATATATCGAATACGCAAATATTTATTAACACGGTCTTCCAAAGACTCTTTTTTTTACCATAATCGACATCTAGCTGCCAAAGCTAGACGTAGTTTGACATAACATGTGGAACCTAATATTATACTATACACATGTTTCTAACTTCGTGAAAGTAAAATGTTCTGTATTATGCATAGTGGGATATTTAGCACATATTTTGAGATTTTCTTTCAAATGGTAGATTTGATTGAGCTCTTTTTTTTAATGCAGTTAGGTGCTGCTTAGATTAGAAGAGGATAAGGTTTCCAAGTCAAACGAACAATATCTCTTTGAAATATTTACCTAAGAATGTTGTCCATACCACGGAACTAAAGTGTGTAGATAAAGATTTGCTGACTTTTTTTTCGCAAAGTTTCATTATAGTTGGAGTTTGTTTTTATTTTGATTAGAATCTATTCTAAACTGCGTTCTATTATTGAATAAAAAAAAAACGAGAGTTGAATGTTGTTTTACACTTGAAAAAGAAATTATATAGATTATAATGGGACACGATTGGTTCAAAGTGTTTGTAATTGTGGCATTTCGTGAGACTATGATTCATAAATGAATCCCATATTCGCAAGTTCTAGATCTTTTCATAAATATCGCTGAACGTTTAAAAAATGCATCCGATCCATAGCCAAGTAACAGCATCGTTTTAAAACTTTCAAGTTTTGTAACTACCGAAAGAAATGCGATAGAAGTCTGATCTTTTTTTTTAGCAAGTTAGTCGAGTGATAAGAGCAGGATAAAGAAAAAATTTCATTTAGATCAATTCATAGGAATCAAAGTTATTCTAAACATAGATGTTGTAATATAACGGTACAGCAGATGTACAATTCAAAGACTTTTTCATAAACAAAATTTCAAATTATCTTGTTGATTTGATTTCAAAAAACAACTTATTATCATGAAACTAAAATACAATTTAGATTCAGCAGTTCGATCAGTTATAATAGTCTTTTAGAATTATCATAATATTGTGATTTTCTATTTAGATTACAATACCAAAGAATAGTCCTCTCCACAGATGTTGTTGATATATGATTGAATATCGTATATCAATAATGTCTCGTTAAACTACTTCCTTACTGCATTTCTTGAGGATTAAGTAAAAAGATGATGAAGAACTCTATCCAAAAATTGATAGAATAAAATAATCTTCCCGTGATTAGCAACAGCAATTGCATTGTATTTCTTATTTTGATTCCGAAGGAATTACGTTAACGGCTGTTTTTAATTTAGACCAGATCAAATCGAACCAATATGGTTAAATTTTGCTAATGAGCATGAACATGTTCTTCGTCTTATTACTGAAAATATTTTTCGTAATCATGGTAATCAATTTTCTATCTATGATTATCGTGCACGTCGAGAACATGTTGAATATCGTTTATCACGTATGTTACAACAAACATTATCAGGTGATTGTTGTCCAATATGTTGCCAACATCAAACATGTTCAAAAACAATTGAATATTCATGTACAAGATTAATTCATTGTAATAATTCAGCAACTCCATGTTCAGGTGGTTATTTTGTTGATATTGATGCTGTTTATATATTTAAAGTTGCATTACCAAAACAAATAATAAAACGTCTTTATACATTAATGCTTAAACCAATTTATACTGAAATAGCTGAAAGTCAAGAAAATGCTTCATTAGTTTGGATTGAAACAGAACGACAACGAAATGTATTCTTAAATAAAGCACGTGAAACATTAATGAGTGCATTAGCTAAAAATGAATTAGTACGTGAAAAAGCACGAATTACTTATGAAAGTCTTCTAGTTAAACAATTAAGTTCATCTGAACAAGATTTATGTCGTCAATTAAATATTGAAACAACAGCTGATAAATTATCAACATCATTCCTACTTGAAATGAATCATTTAGCTAATTTAACACAAACAGTTAATATTGATAGTTTAGTTACACAATATGAGCAAACGACAAAGACAAAACCAATAAATGACTTATTTGACTTTGTTCCTTCATCAAACGTTTTTGACATGACTGAATTTATTTCTATACTTGAAAATTAATATTATTATATATTTTAATTGTTTTTTATTTTCTTCCTAACTAATATTTTATTAATTGAATACTCTTACAGTTTTGAACGGTAATACCGTTCTTCGTCTGGAAGAAAGTATACAAACAGTTTTCTTTTACATATACATATATATAAATAATTCAATTCATTCTTTTTATTTTTAATACTGCTACGAATAAGATGATAATAGTCTGGTACTATAAAGATGATTTTTATCGTCCGTACCACTATTAAAAGTAGAAAAAAAAATCAACTGAATGATCTATGTATATGTAAAACAAAACTATTTGTAGACTTTCTTCTGACGAAGAACGGTATTACCGTTCAAAACATTAAGAGTATTAAATAAATAAAATATTAGTTAGGAAGAGAGAAAAAACAATTAAACTTTGTCTATAAACTTTCTTAATCAGAAATAATTTTATTGTATTATTATATTCTCAATTACTTTCTCTTTCATTTTTTAATCGTATTTTAGATGTCTAGAGCTGATAAATATGAGAAAATAGAACGTATTGGAGAAGGTAAAAAAACTGAAAAGACATTAATATTGTATTACCATGAAATATTTTTTTTTTGTTGTATAGGTACTTATGGTACGGTGTATAAAGCTCGCAGTTTACTAACACAAGAAATTGTAGCTTTAAAAAAAGTTCGACTTGATGATGAAGATGATGTATGATAAATTGTAGAAGAAATTTTCAATTTGACTTTGTTTTTCTAGGGTGTACCGAGTTCAGCTCTACGTGAAATTTGCCTTCTAAAAGAATTACGCCATCCAAATATTGTCAGGTAAATCGATAAAATAATATATTGTATTGTTATTACTATATTATTTAATTATATTGAGTCTTAAGACTACTCCGTCAAGTGATAAAAAGAAAAATTATCTTATATATATAATTAGCAGAAGAGAGTGAATATGTGAAAACAGTATAAAATCATAGGTTACATAGTTTCAATTGCAAATGTATAAAACAAATAGAGAACAATAGAAATAATCGAAAATGAAACCAAAAATCAACCACATGGAAATATCCGTTCATCAAAACAATCTAATCTGACGTGAATTCAAATGCACACCCACGACCTTACGAATTGTCACACACATACGGCTTCTAAGAGATCAATAAAAGGCCTTGAATACACTATATTCATCTATGATAAAACAAAGAAACCATCGGAACAATTAGTTATATTTAATAAAAATTTTTAATTATAACAAAAACCTTTCTGAAGAGTTTCTTGTTGGAGAGCAGTCAATTATCAAAAAAACGAGAAAGACTCAAACATAAAAAGAAAAGAACTATAAAAAATTTGTCGACGTTATTGTATAGCACTTTACTGTTCGTGTTTACATCAGATTGTAAGGTTTAGAGTTCGAGATTGATTGTTGGTCAAAGTATGACATGAAAAAGTTTCATAAAAAGCTCAGATATTAATTTCATATCTAACCAAAGATTATCAAGTTTTCATCGAAATTGATGATTTGAAGGTTTCAATCATTTTTTTATGTCAAGTTTTTCTATCAAATTACTCTCTTCTGTCTTGCACAGATTAATTGCAACCCAAAAAAGTTCTATTTTAATATGCCATAATATATTTTGTCAGACAACGCCACAATTTTTCATATTGATTAAGTATTCTACTTTATAACTTTCTTTGTGTGACACAATCTTTAATAAATAATAAGACTCAAAAACAGCCGATGTATCCAGAACAGACAATGTACACCTGTTCACAATGATTGGGAGAATGGAATTTCGACTTAAATCTAACATTTATCTAACAGTTTAAAAATATTCATATAGTCATATATTTAAAAAAATCAAGTAGATGTACAGTAGTTTCCGCGACATGAGAAGATATCGAAAATCTTTAAGATATATGAAACGAAATCCTTGATAAAAAAAAATGCGATAAACCGAGAATGCCATTTTGAGAGATCCAAAGTTGGTGTAAATTGTCTTGGACGATTCTAGTCAATAAGACATGTTTTATAGTAGATCAACAGAGAATTAAGCAATAGTTAACTTTGCTGATTAAGATAATTAAGATATTCTCAAAAGGTGATACTATAACTACTGCAATACCATCAGTATATAAATTAACGTCATATTCATTAAACATTAAAATGAGATCAAAGATGAAAAATTATACTAAGATAAATGGAAATAACTGATTCTTGAAGTAATTTCCATTTAGAAATAAATTTAGTCGAGAATGAATCTTATCCTGTGGATTTAGTTTTACTAATGAAACAAAAATATATTGATTTGTTTTTTATTAGATTGTTAGATGTTATTCATACTGAGAAAACTTTAAATCTTATATTCGAATATTGTGATCAAGATTTAAAAAAATATTTTGATTCATGCAATGGAGATATTGACTCAACAACAGTACAATCATTTTTTTGGCAATTATTACAAGGTTTATCATATTGTCATGAACATAGTGTACTTCATCGTGATCTTAAACCGCAAAATCTATTATTGACAAAGGTTATATAATTATTTTTATGTTTTTAAATAAATATAAAAATTTTTCTTATTTAAGAATGGAGAATTAAAATTAGCTGATTTTGGTTTAGCAAGAGCTTATGGTATTCCTGTTAAATGTTATTCATCAGAAGTTGTTACTCTTTGGTATCGTCCACCTGATGTTTTATTTGGTGCAAAAATCTATACAACTTCAATTGATATATGTAAATATTAAATCATAATTTAAATGATTTTTATAAGAAATTTTTTTAATTTTTTTCAAGGGTCTGCTGGATGCATATTTGCTGAATTAGCAAACGGTGGTAAACCTTTATTTCCAGGTGAAAGTGTGGATGATCAGCTAAGAAGAATATTTAAGTAAATAAAATGATTTATATTTATTCTTTTTTAATAATTATATATTCAGAGTGATTGGAACACCAACTGAAGAAACTTGGCCTGGTGTTTCAAGTCTTCCAGAATATAAACCATTTTCAATTTATCAACCTACACTATCACTCATTCATTTTGTTCCTAAATTGAATAATAAAGGGAAAGATCTTTTACTGGTAAATATTTATTTTTTAATATTTTTTCATTCTTCGAATTAGATGCGATAACAAATGCTTAGTTATTTTCTCTAATGATCATCAAAAATGAAATATATTGAGTAGAAATCATAAGTAAACTAGATTTGATTCGCTTTTCTTTCATCGAAAACATGAAATGCATTCCAATTAACCATTCGATTGACATTTCGACGTATTGATTTCAGTTTCTGACAGGACAAGACTCGGTATTAGGTCATTATGATATGTGTAGTTTCCAAATGGTCGAATATAGGTGAAAAAAGAAATTCGAGCATCAACATTTATGATTCCATGTAACATCTAAACTAAATATGACCTATTATTCTTCTGTGAACGTTATTTTATACATAAAAAATAATTTGACGTTTGAGACGAACTTTGGTCTTAGTTCTCTTTAGATAATGTTAAATTTTGCTTAGAAATTTATGAAAGATAATGCGGAATATATACTGAACGTAAATAATTCTGCTAAGATTGTTGAATAAACGTAATAAAAAAAAACAACCTTTCAAAATTGGTTTCTAAATAATTTTTACATCATCATAATTAGACTCAATCGTAGAGATCATCAGGATTCAAAAATTTCGGATTCGACGAACTCTACTCAGAAGTCAAAACATTTATTGTGTTAGGCTTGCTTCTACTGCAGCCATCGAAATGAATCCCTCTGATATGTTTTTTCCTCTAGTAGTCAGAGTTTTGATAAATTGCGAATGGTTGAAATGCATCCGAAGAATCGGTAGCATTCTTTCAATATTTTTTGCGGTCGCCAGGTTCTTGGAACCTCAATGAGTGCCAAAGAGTTGAAAATAAGTACCCGACAAAGTGTAGCTTTTGAGTGCTTGAAATCCGATGGCTGCCGAGGGGCTAAACATCGAAATACAACGAACAAAAAATATACATGTGAAACTTTTGATCGCTCGTTGCACATGTGCTTTTCAAAATTTGCTTGGACAAAACTTCTCCATCGAATATTTGTATATTTTTAAACTAGCTCAAACTAAGAATCACATTTTTACTCATAATAGAGATTATTTCATTAATTTTAATTGTCTTTAAAACACAAACTACAGTGGCGTAGCCAGGGATAGGGCCATTGGACAACTGCCCATAGCTCCAAAGGTTATTGCCCACGGATCTATTGATCTATGCAGTGCTTGAACAGTTATTGCCCACAGATATTTTTGAAATTATCAGGGTTGCCCTCAGCTGCCCATAACTCAAAATAGTTTAGCTGGTGAATTGCCCATGACTCAAAAATTCCTGGCTACGCCACTGACAGACTATGTAAGATTTGAAGAAATAGGTTAATAGTTCACATAATATCTTATCAACTATGACTATCTTGTCTACTAGGAATAATATAAATTGAGAAGTATTAATTTTCAAAATCGATAAACGATTATTTCGATCGTTTGCTTATAAGTTGTTTTAAACTACTGTTCAAGTAAACTAGTCCAAGTATGCATTGAAAATAAATGATTTAAAATGAGAAATGTATCTTTTGATTGATCAGTGGAGCTATAACTCATAGAAAGTTTTGTTTGAACAATCAAAATAGAAACTTGGTTAATACCATACATAAACTATTTCTTTTATCAAAATTTCTAACATATGAAATACTTTATAAAAATACTGAATGTGTTTATAAAGATAAGCATTGTTCAATGAAAATCGATTGATTTGAAATAATCTCTGTGCCATTATAGTGTCCGCGGTTATCATGAGAAGCATCTGAAAATTTCAGTTAAAATATTAAAGATTTAGATTAATTTTGATTTTTAACATATTTTAAATTAATTATTACATGTTTTAGCGTTGTCTAATCTGTAATCCAAATCAACGAATATCAGCAGCAGATGCTCTTCAACATCCATACTTTTCAGATATACAATCAGTCAATTAGTGGAATTTTTTTTTGTGGTGCATTCAATTATTCAATAAATGAAGAAAAAAAATATTTCCTTTATACAAATCTTTGTTATTTGTTGTAAACATCCATATATAATTACTCTCAACTAGTTTTAATTCTTTTTTTTTGTCATTACGTATTTGTATGTGTTTTATTTCTCTCAAAAGAAAAAAAGAACGAAATTTTGGCTAAAATCAAATTGAATCGTAAAAAAGAAAAGTTTTATTCTTTTTTTTTCAAAATTTTATTTTTAGTAATATCGGAAAGAAAAAGAAGAGAACGAGTAAACTTGATGGTAAACGAAAAAAGAAAGTGAAAAAAAAAGCATCAATAGATTTGTTTCGCTGTGAATGAATAGAAGATTAAACATAGTGATACATTAAGCAAGATAAGATGAAAAGAAAAGAATTTCTAAATAGAGTCTAACTACAGAGAACAAAACAAGCTGGAATGAAATGTGTAATTTTTTTTTGCTGTTGTTCTTGTGTTGAATGCTTTGAAACAAAGTTAAAAAGAAAAAGCATTTGATTAAGGAGAAGGAAAAAAATGATGTCATTGTAAATGTCAGTCAGATCTAGAGTGAATATCTCCTTTCATAGAGTGATATATATATATACAATAAATAAAATATATTTAAATATTGGATAATTTAACTTTAATTGGTAACGATTCTGTAACTTCATAAGGTTGATCATCAGGTTGAATTTTTTCTTTTTCATATGCTTCATAATCATATGGATGAAAAACAAGTTCTTGAGCACGAATTGATAAAGCATTACGAGTTGGTGTATGATGACAAAGTGACATAACCATATCTAAAATTCAACAATTCATTGAAACTTTTTTAAAAATAAATAAAAACTTATCGCTTACACCAAAGAATAGCTGATGATGAAAGAAAAATGGCAAGAAAGATCCATATTGGAATCTTTGGTTGTTTACGAACAAGATCATTCCATTCAGTGCGAACATCAGTCATGAATTGTTGAAAACGATTAGGCGTTGGTTCCATACGTTGATGATGTTCATATGGATGTCTGATAAAATTTCTAAATTCATTAATTAATGGAACTTTATCATTATTTTCTTCACTTGATGAATCAGGATTATTATTTATTGGTATACGAATAATTGGAATATTTTTTGGTAATTCTGATAATGTTTCAAAACCAGGAAGTTTTGGAATTTCTTTTGAATTTTCTTCAAATGATTTACGAATTGTTTGTTCAAAATTATTTGCTCTATCTTGAAATTGTTTAATTATATCATTAAACATTTGAATTGGATCACTGTTAAAGAATTGTTGCATAGATGGCATTGGCATCGATGGTAATTCTCCTGATGGCCGTTGACGAAGACGTATAAGAATAATTGAACGTGGACGTCCTAGTTCTATCTTAGGAGGGACAGGTCCTAATTCATTAGTTTCCTAAAATATAATGATGATTAGTTTTAAATTAAGATATTATTCTTACTGGAACTGGATCAACAGCAACAATAGGTTTGTTTTCATCCACTGGGCGACTTAAAGTACAACCAACCTGACAACAAGCTTGCATTTCTTCCTCTTTGGAATTTGATTTACATTGAGTTGCACAATCTTCATTGTGTAACTTAAAATCACAACCTAAATTTAATTAAGAAATAATTTTAATCAATGTTTATTTTTTCGACTATTCAACTCGATGAACAAACCTTTTCTGCAAGCATTCAAATGTTTTGTACTAGCTGCATAATTTGTATGACAACCTGAATAACAACTGTTTTCAGTACGAAACAATGTTTCGATTAGACCCGTTGCTGGCGATGACGCCAATAGAATGGCAAAAACAAGAAGTTTTACCATGATGTGGACGATGTATTTATGTCAAATTTTTTAATGAATGATTTAATATCTAATTTATCTAAGGAAATAAAATATAATAAGTGCAATTGTAATCACAATGAAATAATGACGCGTAAAATCTTATTGATATTATACAGATGAAAAAAAAACAAGAAACAAACGACTAGAAAAGAGTATCCACTCGCACACAGCGAAATAGGTAGACGAAGAAATGTTTTATTCTACGCAGTAAATAATTTTTTTCTCGTATATTCGTTAAGGTTCTTTTTCTTCTTTTCTTTCTTCGCCCCACTAACCCTTTTTTTTTTCGGTAGTTTTTACTTCGTGTAAAAAATATATGAAGAAAGAAAAAAAAACAGAAAATAAGAAACCTTTTATTAGTCAGCGACTATTTTGATGTGCTTGAGTGCCTTCAAGAATAGGGAAAAAAAATGTAAGATAGCTGATGATTGTCATAAAGAACCATGATACATATACAAACCGAATAAAATACGTATGATGTCAACAACGTAAAAGTAAACCGGCAGGAAGAACAAAAAGGAAAAAGAAAACGGAGAATCTCAAGTAACAATCACTAAACAATGTTGTTTGATTATTTGTTTGTTTATTTCTGTTGTTCGTTACTGATGATTCATTTCTATTTTTGTTACTGCTCCATCTATTGAATCGAGTTATCGATTCTAAAAACAGGAGGTTTATGATGATTTTTCTTTTGTTTGTCAAGAGCTAACGACGAATCAATGAATCAATCAATATTAATGTCTGTAATGCTCATTAAAATGTTCGATAGATGTCCTCCGTAATCACATAAACATATATTTTACGAAAATCATGATTAGCAAATATTCGATTAGCATTCATGTTGTATGCTGAATGTGTTTGATTTTTACGTTTATTCTCTAACTTGTATGTAGAAAGTGTTCTAAGAGTCCACTAGTAAAGGGAACGTGAATAACTTTAGAACAATGCAAGGGCTATCTCTGAAATTCTTTAATATTATTCCATGGTTATTAAATTTTTGTTTCGCATATGTTTATTTGCGTTTACTGTTCGAGATGAACACATTGAAATGACATACTGTAGTCCACTGTTACGACTTGCATCTTCTTCAAATGTTGTCATCAGGGTTTGTTCCTCTCTATCTATAGGATTATACATATGCACTTATGTTCTTCTTTGTTTTACCTTATTATTAGTCATGTACCATGGATTTTTCCTTTCCTTTCATATATGTTGAAGTTTTTCCTTTCGTTCGTGTTGTTCTATGGATGTTTCCTTTCTTTGTTTATCGGTTATGGAATAGATACAGTTGTACAAAATAATGTATAAGTGGGATTAAGATTACACATAGACTATTCTAGTTACCAGTTCTTATTGTTATTCAAGCATAATCTTTAGTAGACACTTTCACAGATATAGTCTATCATGTGTGTTCATTAGAAAAATTCAAACGTCGCTAAGTGATATGAACATAAAGATCATTGCATAGAACCTTTTCTTTGAATAATTTCTATGGTAAGAAAAGTGTTACTTAGAAATAGATTTACTTTATTGTCGAAACTTTACGAAGTCTTGCTTTGTTGAACTATTCACTGATCTCTGTCAGGATTCAAAATGCTGCTGAAGAAACTGTTCAAATAGTCTGGATATCTGATGTCGATATGCTTTAACTGCTAATATGAGCTTCAGAGATTTGTTTTTTCTTTTGTCATTACTGTAAGACGTTCTAAATATGCTCTGATTCGACAGTTTCTTATCAAAATCAACTAACAGCTTTATTTGCAAATTCGTAGATGATTCAAATTTGGCTACAAATAGAACAGATTGTATACTAATGTTCATAAGTACAAGCATTTTATCTGAAATGTGCTGAATAAAACTTCAATGAAATATAGAGCCCCATGATGAGAGGAACATGTAAGTCGATTAAACGCTTGAAAAGTTACTAAAGTTTTATTTTTTGGTGGACATTTGGAACACTCTATGGTTCTTTACTATCAAATAAAATACATCACTTCTAAAAACAATATCAGATTAATTTTTTTTTGAAATAATTACAAGAATGAAAGAGAGTTCATTTGAATTGTTCATTTGCCTACAATTATCTACATGAAGGATAAGGATGAATATCTATGATGATATATTCTGGCAAGCCAAAACAAAACATCACAATAAGGTTTATTAACGTTAAATGAAAATTTAATTCATAAATATCCATTACTAGTCAGTTGTTTTGCTACTGATACTACATCAGTTTCTTCCTCGGTCCCTAAGTGACTGAAAATCTATTTATCTTCATCTTCGACGTCCTTTTATGTAAGATAACACAGATCTTCTGATGTCATTTATGTGAAATTTCCTTCGAAGCTAATTTTAACTGTTCGATATTATTCAGAATGAGTACCAATGATAGAATATTATCAAATGTTTTTGTTATCTTCCTTGAATATCATTGCATCTTGACTATCTGTTGTACACCGTTTTCTCTTATAAGAATCCGCTTCCTTTTATTTCGTAATATTCGTCGTGTATATGTTCTTGATCTATAATATCTTATCTCGAAAATCTACATAGAATATGCCTTATCTAATAAGAAAGACATAGTCTAAAGAATAATTAACAGAATTTAATTAATCGAATGATTAATTTCATTATAATGATAATTAGATATTGAAATTCTGTCTATATTATAATACATTAACTTAACAATACTCATCAAGCAGAGTTATCATCGCTCGAAAAATTTGGAATCATTTTGTTCCGACTGGTTTAAAAAGTTTTTAAAATGGTAATAAACTGTTGATACATTAGATTTTTCTTTATTTGGTAAAAACTTGCGGTTTCAAAAAGGACCCCCTTTTTTTTAGTTGTGTTGTGTTGAATTTTTTGTTGATCATATTAGGTTAAACTTTAATTTGAGAAATGAATTTTCACTTGTTCATAATATCAAAATAATGTTCAAAATTATAGCGTTATTCAGAGATGAGCAGATGCTTTTACTTGACTTGAAAAAATTTTAGACGACTTGTAACTTGGCTTTACCTTAACAAGAAAGTACAAGACAAATCAGACATATTTTTGTAACTAATTTGAATATTAGATTCACTTAACATAAAGTTATATTTTTGTTAGTCTAATATGAAAATTTTATTCATTAATGATATTAAAACTTAATTAATTAGTCTGTAACAATCCTTGAAACAAAACACGACAGATGATGAACAATGACGAAGAGCAAACGGTAGAAGTTTTCTCTCAGACATGGAATAGAACCGTATCAAAAAACAAAAAGTTAATAATATTATATTTATCATAGTTAAAATTACTAATTATCTCCGTGATGATGATGATGATGATGTTGATGATGATTGTAATTCGAATAGATTTGTTTGTACTAATCAATCTATTGAATACAAATCATTGAACAAAGTGCCAAGGAATGTGTTTACAGTTCCTGCAAGTCAGGATCTATAGAGAGAATAATTTCTCAAAATTGTTTTCTATTTCGACAATACGGAGTCAGAATATCAAGAAAGACTTTACAAACGTTAACTGTGCTAAAATATAATCAGGAACTCATGAAAACTTTTCTCAGTGAATTGCTACATAAGTAAATGATAAAACTTGAAAAATGTTTGAGATAAGAACTTGACTTGTGTCAAAACAACAGCTGACTTGTCCATCTTCTGGAATTAATTGTTTTTTTTTTTATAATCAATATTTATTTTTCGATGAACATGACGTATTTTAAATGAAAAAATACTGTCAATCAATAAATTTAACATGTTCTTATTAAACAAGTGAATAATAAACTAGAAATTAATTTTTATCTATATAATTTTGTGTATAAAAGCTTCACCTATATGTATTTCAATACAGATCTTAATAAATATAATGAAATCAAAGTTAACGAAGAATAATTAAATAATTATTAACTTTTGAAAAAAAAACACAAATGTTAAGTGCAATATTTATCGTCAATTTTATTTCACTATGTATATAAATATTCAAGCAAGTCAAAAAGAGAAACATATGAAGATGCGTGTTGTTGTCAGGTAATCTATTGTCGTAAATTTGTGTTTATTCTTATTGCTTACTTAAAAATCACATTAGTCTTATGATAAAGTATTCCGTACTGTCATTTCTATTTTATTCTTTAACTAGTGAGTTATATATGTATTACTAATGAACTTCAATTTGTTATGTATGTTATTGTCAAGTGCATCAACATTTTTCTATATTATTAAATATTTATCTACTTTTAAAAGTGTGCAATTGAACAATAACTATGACACTATTACATTTATTAATGAATTGGTACGTGAGATGAATTAACAAAGTTTGAATGTGCTTGTGACTATTTACAGTCGAAAAAAAGAGTATTTGACAAACGATTTGTCTTTGATCTTGATAATTTATTATTTATCGTCGGATAGATAAGCAGCATGGCAAGTGTATATGGACTATTGTAAGTGTACGAATAATAGAGTTTATAAAGTTTTATATCTCTATTGTGATACAATCGACATGTGATGAAAATTTATTTGCGTCAGTCAAATAAAAAAACTAAAATTGTAAATACAATCCATAAGATTCGTATAGCAATAAATGTTATACAAGAAAAATAGCTATAATTATTCTCTGCCAAGAACCGTGTTCTTTTGTTTTTCAAACAATTCATCCAAAATAGTTGAATCAACAGTTCAATTCGAATGGTAGAACGTGATCGATGAAGCGAAATGTTAAATGAATAATGATAGGAGAGCAAATGCTAGATAATTTCGATAGTATTATAGTATGAAATCTTGTAATATTCAATAATGGCATCAGATTATCGATGTTCTATAGTAGATATATTACTAAATGTCTGAAAACACTTCATAGATGATTAGCTGAAAACAAAAGCACGTCTTGTTTTATTTAGGTTTTCTCGTCCAGTGGGACAATTATACAGAAAAGCAAACAACTATTTCTGGAAGCATCCAGACACAAAGTAAATAATAGAATAAGCATAAACTCAAGCAGATCAATCCTATTTTCGGATGAGTACCGCTTATTCAGCTAGATAAAATACTCTGTATGATCTTTAGTGATCATCTAAAAAAATTCCAATGAACAGCCCTGTTTCTTTTTTTTGAATGGAAACCGTTTCATCGTCACCGAAATAAATAAAATTCCCAATGAAAGTATTCCATAGTATCTATTCAATTGACAAATATGAGCTACTTGTTCTCAAGTATACTAATCATGATTATAAATCAAATCTTTTTTTCTGATATACGTCTTTTTTTTAAGATGTCATCAAATATTGACACCCATAAATCTTTACGAGGGTGTTTTCTGGATTATACAATATAGATAAAATAGATTAAGAAACTTATCTTATGTGACACGCAAAATGTCAATATCTTTAGTATAAGGCTGATGGTCTGGCTTATATAATATTATGGTTCCATATACAAGTATATTTAAGCCCTATACGTAGCATTTGTTACTGTCGACACACATTATTACTTTCCTATAACACTTAAATATCCATTGTTTTGAATGTTTTCTATTGATTCGGAAAAAAACATATAGTTATACAAGAAAAGATGTTACATTACGTCTCATAAATCAAGAATAAGCTTAAAGATAACAGATAGAATGAAAGACATCAATCTATCATTGAGACCCATCATCTGGTAAATCATTTATACATCAATGAAGACTACTATTGTATGTTCTGTTTTTTCTGCGGTATTAAGTTTTTCCATTTTAATCTTGATAACTAATGTCGAAAGTATAAAATCGTCATCTGCTGTCGTTATTGGACATCGAGGGGCATCTGGTTATCTTCCAGAACATACATTACCCGCTAAAGCTCTTGCTTATGGTCAAGGTGTTGATTATCTTGAACAAGATGTTGTTTTATCAAAAGATAATGTACCGATTGTTATTCATGATATTTATTTAGATGAAATCAGTAATGTTGCTAGTGAGCATCCAACACGTAATCGTTCTGATGGTCGCTTCTATGTTATTGATTTTACTGCTGCAGAAATAAAAGCATTACGTGCTAGTGAACGTTTTAGTCATCAAACAGGAAAACCAATATATCCAAAACGTTTTCCTCTTAATCAATCAACATTTCATTTAGTTACTTTAGCTGAAGAACTTGAATTTATTGCTGGTCTTAATAAAGCAAATATTGACAATAATAGACACGTGGGTGTTTATGTTGAAATCAAACAACCCTCATTTCATAAAAATGAAAATCGATCAAATTTTAGTGAAATTGTTCTTGATATATTACAAGAATATAACTACACAAAACGTACTGATAAAGTATTTTTACAATGTTTTGATCTTGAAGAATTACAACGAATTCGTGTACAACTCAAATCAGATTTAAAACTTGTTGGTTTATTAACAGATGAAAAAAATCGAAGTGCATATAGTAAAAGTGATTATACCTATTGGATAAGTGATGTAGGAATAGAAGATATGTCAACATTTGTTGATGGCATTGGTCCACATTATACACAATTATTTGAACAAGAAAATACATTAGAACCATCAAAATTATATAATGATGCTAGAAAAAATAATTTATTCATTCATCCATATACATTTCGTAGTGATGTAGATCTACAACCATTTGCAACATTTGATGTTATGTTAGAATTTTTTATTGATAAACTAAAAATCGATGGATTATTTACTGATCATCCTGATAAAGTAATTCAATATATAGAATCCAAACGAGAACAAATTAATATAGGAACAAAACTTGATAGTTTTCCGTTTTTTTTAATAATCTTATTGCTTATCATGACAATCTGATAAAAGTGATTTATATTTAAAAATAAACAAATGACTGTTTTTTTAAAATTACTTAGAATATGATGAGATAAATAGAATAAAACAATGTCAAAAATCATTGTCTTTTTTCATTTAGTTTAATAGAAGATTCTTAAATCATTAGAAATGGTGTAAACCAGTGCAATATTCTTCAATAAAGACACAGATCGACCTATATAACTTTATTTTTCATTTGTTTCATACAAACAATGACATTTCAAGTAAATGCTAAACTTTCAATCACTTCATAATAGATGCAATATACAGCAAGGCCAATCGTTTGCCATATATCGTTGTTATAGACATCAACAAGAAATGTATGCTCCTATATATATATATTAGATAATGTCAAATACAAATGTCATCAGTATAATACTGTGTTGATGTGTTAAACTCGAAGGAAAGAAGTGCTTCGAATGTTTCTAATCACTATAATAGTTCTCTATGCTTTTGAACGAGTTCAAGGAGAAACACGTCCATTAGTTATTGGTCATCGTGGTACAGCCTATTTACCTGAACTTACATTAGCTTCACAATCAATGGCTTATGCTTATGGTGCAGATATAATTGAAATTGATGTTTGTCTCAGTCGAGATAATCAATTAATTGTAATTCATGGTAAAAATTTCTCTATATTAGAAATGACTAGTCTAAAATGATCTTGTTTTTTTTTTATATATAGACATCTATTTAGATGGAGTGAGTAATGTGGCTGAAGTTTTTCCTAATCGCAATCGTTCAAATGGTTTTCATTATGTTATTGATTTTGATTTGGAAGAATTACGTCGTTTAAGTATTCGTGAACGTTTTATACCATTCAATGGTACACAAGTATTTCCTTTACGATTGCCTTCTAATACGAATATTTCTTTTCGTCTATCAACACTCAATGAAACAGTTGAATTATTACTCGGTCTTAATCGTGCCACAGGTCAACGACGTCAATTACTGATTGAAATAAAAAAACCTGAATACCATTCAAAATATAATAAATCTATATCATCTATTGTACTTGCAACATTAAATGCTTACAATCTAATACAAACAACAGATCCTGTTATTCTACAAACATTTCATATAGAAGAATTAATGCATATTCGTCGAAATCTCGGTAGTAAATTACGTTTATTTGCATTAATGACATGGAATCAAATAAATGAATCATCAAGTGATTATGATTTTTATCGAAGTGAAGAAGGTATAAGAAATTTATCAAATGTTGTTCAAGCACTTGCACCTAATCATGAATTTGTTGTTAACTATGATTCAAATGGTACAATCTTAGGTTTTACTAATTTGACAAAATGGGCTCATCAATATGGTCTGACTGTTTATCCATTTACATTTCGACAAGATTTGTTTCCTGGTAATAATTTTGAAAAACTTATTGCATATTTTTGGCATACAGTGAAAGTGGATGGTTTTATAACCGATCATCCAAATGTGATTCTTGAATATTTGCAAAGAGAAATGACATTGTCTAATCTCACTACTATGCATCAAAATTTGTCGTCACGCTTAGTTTTATCAATGATGATACTTATTTTCAATATTATAGTTACGTCAAAGAAAATTTGTCAGACTTTATTAATCATAAAGAGTGATTGAGATAATTTTCTTTTAATGAAAATAAAAACTCACTTGTAATAAATTTAAAAAAATGACAAGTTCTTGTTCTTAGTTGAATATCATTCTTTTATTTTAATATGCCTCTTAGAATTTCAATAGAAAAAGTCAAGATAATATACAGAATTTCTCTGCATAATTTATGATAATGTACAAACAACATACAAAAATTTACGTTCCATAAATTGGTAATCATAGTGTTACATTTCTACGTCTTTCAAACGTGATTAAAAGTTTTTTGTGATTGTATTATGCAAAAATGAATCTTTTATTTTCTGTTCACTTATCTTCGTCGCAGTCAATGTATCAATTAACAGTCGTATATCATTCAAAGAAGGTTTTTCTGTGATTATCAGTACAGACTCATTTGAGTTCCCTATCGTTTTGTGTGCTACTTAGAAATGTTCGAAAGTCAACAGAAGTTTACAAATGAAATATGCCACGATCTGCTTGACATCACACGATCGCCTTTGATAATCGATTGAAAACTTTGATTTCCTAAAATTGTAAACACATTCATTCAACGCAATCTGCCGAGTGTGGTCTGTCTTCAAAAAATCTCAGAAAAAATATTGCTGACCAATACTCATTAAGTGTTAAACATTCTGTCAACAGCAGATTGCTAATTATTCAACGAGATAATACGCTAGTGTAAAACACAATAAACGCTGCTTAGTATTAAATAGATTCGTTTTGTAGCCGGGTCATTCAGATGTGTTATGTTTTCTTAGGTCAAATAATATTTGGTATTTGTTTAAAACGATACTCATCGAGCAGAATGATAGCTTCAGAAAAGAATAATTGTTGGTAGCAAGAAGGCAACACAAGTCATTCTAAACCATTTGAATAGCTGGAAGTGATCTGTAATGATTGAAATTGGCGAAATTTTGAAATAAAGCTTTCGTTGTTCGAAAGGTTCCGATTATTATTTTCGAATGTTCTCGATCTAGAGAAGCAACTATATTTGTTTTCGTTTCTAGCCAGTCGAAGTTTGACATCGGTCTTTCCACAGAAGGTCAAATTCTTTTATGTTTTATTCTACCAATTAGATTTCTTCATAGCTTTTACTGGCGCATCGAACTTCTTTTTCCAGGATTCTTATTGCTAAACAAATTTTTTCGATGTTAGCTGATAGAATTTTTATCAAGAAATATGGGGAGCCGAACAATATTCATGAAAATCTCTGATTACATAGATTTGAACCTTTAAAAAGCAGATCGATTGGAAAAACAATGAAGAAATGATATTGTTTGAATATGAGAAGCATGTAGGATCTAATTGATTTGAAAAATAATTCAGAAAATTGATTGGCTTTAAATAGCTCGGAATCAGTGATAATGGTAGCAACTGTTCGAATAGTTTTCTCTTGTTTCCATAGAGATGTGGCGATTGGCGGGAAGGTGACGGACGGGGGTTGCTTACTCTATTTTTAGAAAATTTTCAGTCTTTTTTAGCCAAAATCGTTTTTTTACTAAAAAAGCCGTAATATAAAAAAACCGTTCAGCGCTTCGCAATTTCACAAAAACTGTATATACAGCTTTTAGCTCGCAGAAAGTTTCCTTGCACCATCCTCCTATTTTTTCTTTTCGCCTTGTGTCTGTTTTCGGATATTAGTTTTTATCCGTAGACTATTTTTTTTCGAAAAGTTATATCTTTTACAAATTAACCTACATGTAGAACTCGAAGAGTTGTTATCAGTTTTAAACCTCTTCTTCGAGTTTTCAACTATTATGAAACACATCTCCTAGAAGATTCTGAGAGGATAGGGTAGTGGTACTGATCGAGGTGCTTAGGCGATATACATGGGGACTCCAAGGATGACCACGCGACAATGAGAAAAAAATCTTATTCAGGCAAAATTAAGAAGCCAATAATTTGCATCTGAACTCTTTGTTTTATTTGATGACATAACTTGAACATATAAGCATTCGAGAGCGGATTGAACTGTGCATCTAGCACAACCTACTAGAGAGCTAGCACAGTTTCAGGAGTGAACTTCAGCAAGGAATACTCGAATCTGCCTGTCAACTCTTCTTGTGTGTCTGACGATTGAGCAAGTTCTTACGAACAAGTGAAGAAGGTTTTGTTTCACCTCCAGCCATATTCAACAAAGCAAGAATAGTCAACAAGTTGTTAGCTACTTAAACACAATCAATGATATCATTGTGTTCTAAACAGAAACACAAATATTAAGTTTGTTATTAACATCGTTATGAATGATTGCTGGGGATAATGTATGTCAAGCTTGAAAAAATTTATCTGGGATACTAATGATCGTGATCAAATACGATTTTGTATATATAAAAGGGTAAACAATAAAAATTTCATCGAACGATACGGATAATTTACTAGTTGATAAGTATTCTAAATGCTTCTGAAACAAGCATATGTGGCATTGAATTTCAAAATATTGATCAATAAAAAATAGATTATACAAATGTTTTTATCTCATTTTATTCAGGTGACCTTCTATTCTATAGTTACTGACCGTATTTTACCTCATAGATCACTTAATTATTTGTCTTCCAAAATTTTATATAATAAAGCAGTCAATGTCTCTTGAATTAATCCGTCTGTAATACTAACATTATTGTTGAAAAATAATTATAAGACCTAATATCAAGAAGACGAAGAGTGGAAGCGTCATCCTGTCGTCTAGAAACGTTTATAATGAGAAGAAAATACAGCTCTATTCTAAAATGAAACGACTTTTTCTTATTGATTGTCACCTTTGGTATTGGCTCATTTATTTTAGTTGAGAAAATAACCTATAGTTGACTGCTTTACACTCATACTTCTTTTGAATAATTAGAATTTTAATGCAGAAGATTAATAAGAAAAATATTCGTATTTTTCCTACAGTTAAAACGTCTGTTTTTGTAAGTCCATCATATTTTTACAGCAATATATAATCCATCGTTGTAGATTTTATTTTGATAACGAGAAGTTTTGTAGTATGTAAAATAAAAGAATCAATTTTACAATGAATTTTCTTCTGTCTGTGTAGTGCAGATTTATTAATACCATCATGTTTTATATTCTTCATGACTTCTTTTAATTTTTCATCTGTAGTTTCTGGTTTGATTCATCTGAAAATTTATTGTTGCAAGCCTTATGTATGTTTAAAATGCATTCAATTCAAAATCAATTTATAAAACGAATTTTCATCAAGCTAATCCTATCAATTTTTACTCCTATTGTCAAATAATTATCGTATTGATTCAATTTATTTTCAATTTAATAATTCGTTGTAATTTTATTAGATTTTTGTTCGGAAATTAATTTATGAATGTATTCTATTTGCCTGTCCTTGTGTTATTCAATTTTGTTTTGCTGCCACATATTATTGTCAATCATTTTTGAACTTGAATAAAAAACAAATATCTATTTTTACTTCTTCAATTATCAAGTATGCCGAAGACATTCGAGATGTACATAGATACTTACTTTGCTGATCCAATAGTTGTTAGTTACATCTCACATTTCATCATATGTAAAAGACAAAATGAAGAAATGATTGATTAAAAAAAGAAGCAGGAAAAAAAGTTAACATCTCATTTTCTCTGTCTCACAACAGCAAACAGACGAATTAAGTTACATTAAGAAAACATGCCTATTGCTAGTGGTTTTACACGAGATCCAAATCCAAATCCAAATTATGTGGTAGGAATCATTCATTTTTATTATAGATAATGTAAAAATAAATTTTTTTCTTTAAATCTACTTAGATTCGCAAACCGGGTAAAACAGAACTTTTAGATGAATCTATTTATTACAAACGTGATGTACCTTTTGAAAAACCTGTTGAGGTATTTATTAAGTTTTTCAATATTTATTATGAGTTCACTTTATAAGGTTATCAATCGACCAATTATCAAAGAAACAATTTTTCTGCCTGATCGTAAACCACCACCAATAACGACACGTCGAGATGTATACACGGTACGTTGATACACATGTTTATAATATTTTCTATCAATTATATTACAGGTTTCACCTGAACCAGATTCACCTGTCTATACAACAACAAACGCACCATCTTCAGGTTCATTCAATCTAGTTCGGGCCTTAGGATTAAATGCTGATTGTCCATGTTGGGCATGGATTTTGATTGTTTTTAGTATTCTACTTCTTCTTGGCCTTCTTGCTATGTGTTTATATTTTATCATTGGTATGTTTATTTTTAAATCAATTTATAAGCAAAGAAAAAAACACAAATTTTTTTCTAATTTTATTTCTAATTTTAGATCGTGAAAGAAATGATTAACCGACCATACTTCTTTTTCGTCCTCTTGCACGGACTTCTTCATATTTATTCATTGTTAATGTACGCTGTTTTTCATCACTAATTGAACTTTTATATGCCATAAGAATATTTGAAAAGAAATGTTTTGCTTTTTGATGTGTACATATAATAGCTCGTTCTAAAACGTACAAATCGACAGCAAGTGCCTCAAGCATTTGAGTTTTATTTGGTATATAAGCACTTAAACCAAAATCAATTAAATAGAGTTGATCATTTTCTGTTAAAAGCATATTTGATGTTGTAAGATCACCATGTACAACTTGTGCCTGATGAAGACAACCTATTGTTGTACCAATTTGTTGTGCTAACTGTTCAAGTTTAACAGTATTTTGTTCTTGAATCAATGTATCAATAACAGATTTTACAGTACGAGCTTCATGTAAATCTTCCATAACAATTGTACGTCTAGCCCAATCAATATGATAGATGGCTGGTGTATGAATACCTAATTGTTTAGCACGTGTCAACAAACGTACTTCACCCTTAAGACGTTGAAGAGTTATAGCATTATCAAGATCAGGATGACGATAAGTTTTAACAAAACGTTCTTTAAGTATAGCACGACGACCAAAGTATAAACATCGAAAAAGACGTGCTTCAGCACCTTGACAAATAAGTTCAATGTTAGAATAGACTGGTGGAGCAGCTTCCATTTTTCTTTCTAAAATAAAAAATAAAAAATATCGATAATTGTTGAAGAAAATGTCTACATGAATACCATTACACACTTATTTATGACTTGAATAAATTCCGATAGACAAATTCAAAGTTTTGAATTTCAATTTTTCTCGTAGTAAAATTATTAAGATGTTGCTAAAGAAGCAATTCAAGATATCATAGATACAAAGAAGGAATTCTAATTTATCTGAACAGTAGTAGATCAAATACACTTTTATATCATTCCACTAATAGAAAGATTTATCTTTCTTTTCAATATTTTAAGTCAATCATAGAAAATAAGGTTGACATTGTTTGAAAAAAAAAGTAGCAAAATCAAGTTCAATTATTAAATAAAATCATAAGATTCTTTACAATATCAAAATAATTGATATTTTCTTTAAAGCTTTCTAATTAATTAACTCGTATGATATTAGTATTGATTATTTGTTTGGCACAAATGAAGAAAAAGAAGGAATCGAATGGAATAATAATAATAGTAATAACAACAACAACAACAAGAAAAGAAAACTACATGCATCAGACCATTAGTTAAAGAATTAAACAAAGAAATTATGCGTACAAAAAAAATATATAGAAGAAGAGAAACGTAGTCGATGACTTAATACACATCTGACAAAATATCCTTGATCGAGACATATTAATAAAAACAAAATTGATGTTTTTATCTGCTCTAGGCACAAAAAAGAATTGAAGACATGAATATTTTTCAACAAAAAACAAAAGAACGCATAATTGAACATAAGTTCATACAATAATATGAAGATGAATAAGAAACACTGTTCAACGCACATACATTCTTAGTTACTAAAGTTGTGATTCAACTAGACCTGCATATTGAGATTCAGATCTATCAAATTTATAGTTCGAATCAAAACTTAATGAATTAATTATTTGATGAGATTGTTTTGTATTTGGTGTTAATGTTAATTTTTGATGGGATGTATGATTGCCATTGACAGTTACAGAAGTTTGTGGTGGTAATGAAGGTAGAATAATTGTTCCATCGGATCGATCATGATTTGTAAGTTGTTGTTTAGGTTGTCGTCGAGGATCAACAGCTTGATTAGGTTTTATAATATCTTCACGATATTCGTAATCTTCTTCATAACCTGTAGGAAAAATCATTTCATCTTCAAATTCATCAACAATGACAGGTTCCATTGGTGAAGGTCGATAAACCTAAAATATGAAGATACAAAATAAAATTTTCAAAAAATTTTTATTTTATACTTGTTCATAAAGTTGTCTATCTGATCTATAACTATCATAAAATGAATCATGTGGATGCTGACGTCGCATAAGTGTTGCTGTATCATGTAAGGGTATTGATGATGACATTGAACCACCACCAATACTTCTTAATGGTGTTGAATCAACCATACGTACTTCACTATACATTGGTGGACCAAGTTGTGATCTTGAATCAATCATATCATATGGATCATAACTACCATTTGTAACAAAACTATGTTGTTCATCATTTTTTTCTTTATATATATTACCATTTGTTAATAATACACCATTATGATGATGATTTGTATCAAATAATAATGCTTTATTTCTTTGAGCTTGTTGTTGACTTGAACGATGACAACGTATAATCCAGCATATACAAAGTAATAGAATAATTAAAAGAAATAATAAAAGAAATATGCCAATAATCCAAATAAGAAATGAACTATCAGTTATTGATGATGATCGTCGAACACATAATTCATATGAAAGATATTCATTATCTGAACGTCCTTGATTTCGTATAGCAGCAACACAATTATATGTTCCATTATGTTCTGTACCAATATTCGATATAGTTAATGTTGTTGTTTTATTAAGACAAGCTAAAGGTGATAGTTCACTATAAGATGATAAACATGAAAAACGTATTGTATATGAACCAGTATGAATATCAGGTTCATTGACAGTTGATATAATCTTTCCGATAATTTTATTTTGAAATGTCCACCATACATCAGGTGCTGGATCAGAATAGACCTAAAATAAGATTTTTCTTTTTTTCTTATTAATTTATTAATTTGTTTTTTGTTTTTAGCTAATATTTTGCATGCTGTATCTTAGCTTATAAAATATATCAGAAATCTATCCTGTTAATCGGTTTTAAACTTGACATATATATCTTTCTGACGGAAGAAATTAGTTATATAAAACATAAAGAACTGATTATCATACGGTAGGAAGAAGAATAATGAAAAGTATCTCTGCCTTAAGATATGAGATGTTACCAAACTCATGTCATAGCTGCTGCTAGTGAAGTTTGAACAGAGTACCTGGTGGATATATACCAAACAACGTAGCTACTCAACTATGGCAGCCTATCACAAAAAAAATATTACTATTTGATGTGAACTCCCTACTACAGATATACAGGACCAGGTTATTTTTTTGTCCTAACCTAGAGAAAGCTATTTTAGAATTGATTTGTATTACATCTAGAACAAGTGTTCCATGTTCTTTTATATGATTTTTAACTTAAAACCGTAGATTATTTAACTATTATCTTTAGTTCTGGTTGAGGCAAATTTTTTCTCGTAATCTCAGTCCTATACATATCTACCATCAACAGAATTGATAAAAACCATAGCTACATAGCTCTGATTATTATCACCCAATCAATAATACTACTATCACTGGTAAAAAATGTCATATTTATCTCATCTTCATAATGGATATTATCAAGGGAATAATGCCAGAAAGTAATTTATAAATCGCCTAATTTATATGTCAAGTCTTTTGTGTACGCAATATATTATGAAAACATGAGAAATATTCAATTGATAGATAGCCATAAATCTTAATTTACTTACATCACAGCGAAGTGTTGCAATTTCACCAGTAGTTGTAGAAAGTACAGTCAAATCAGGTTTTGATATAATTGGTCCACAAACAAATTGTTCGTCACGTAATGTAACAATTTTTTTATCTGCTAATGCTTTAGGCATTTCACATTGTGGTTCATCATGATAAATAGGATATTCAACACGACTTAATGCATTACGTAACCAACGAAGACGACAATCACATTCTAATGGATTTGAGCTTAACTTTAAATGAAAATTATTGGAAAATGTTATATTATTTGCTAATGTTCTTAACATATTTGAATTTAAAAATAATTGTTTTAAATTTTTTAAATGATTAACTAATAACATATCAACATATTGAAGACGATTAAATGATAAATCAAGTTGTTGTAAACGATTATATGGTCGTATATCTGATATTGTTAAACGATGAATTTGATTATTTGAAAGAACAAGCTTTCTACAGTTAACAAAAAAAAAAAAATCAAAAAGGACATAATTTTATATTATTTATTCAAATGAGATACTGACATAAGATTGCTATATTGTTCATTCTCATTTTGAGGCATATATTGAAGTTCATTATTCGATAAATCAAGATATTCAAGAGCTCGTTCAATCAACCCTAAAGCTCCATTTTCAATATGTCTTAATGTACCATGCATAATATATAAATATCGTAAATCACTCAATTGATAAACATTATTGTGTCCATAGGAAAATTGAAGTAAACCATTAGATAAACTACGTAATTGATGATGAATAATTGTTAAATTTGTAATTACACCACCACGTCTTAATTTGAAATCTGATTGTATATTAAGTTGTTCATGCATACATTGTTGATAAGCAGTAAGTGAATGAACATTGGTACATATCATTGTCATACCTGCTGAATCTAAACTGCATGAACATGATATTGGTTGAGCATGTACTATTTCGACAGATAATATCAATGATAAATAAAAATTGATTATAATTATGAATAATTTCATATGACCACTCATAATAAGTTTGTACAATATAAAACTAAAAATACATATACATGCTTACATAATCATCAATGCAATAAATATGTATATACATGCAATCTGGATTATAAAAAACATATGTATGATTTGAGGTACTAATCAAGAATAATTAATCTATTGCAGCAGAGGGAAAGATAATTTTATTCTTTGCACATAGTAATTAACTATCATTTTCTGTCAATATTTATCAATGGAATAAGAATGCTAATAATTAATTTTACAAATGTTTTCAAAAAAAAAAAAATTGATCAATTTTTTATATAAACAAACACATAAAAAGAACAAGAGTTCAAATGAAAATCAAATGCTTAAGCATTCATCCTTTTCATGTGTCACGTAAACATACTCATTTCCTTTTTTTTTTTGCATATGTATATTTATATCGGCTGTTTTCATCTATCGCGATTGATAAGTTTGAGACACCAACATCATCATATACATAGACACATTCGACAAATATGCCTACGGATCACATCTGATATGGGAATGCATACATTCTAATCATCAAAAAAGGGAAAACATTTCAGCTGAATTTTATCTAATTTAATCCAAGAAAAATATGATCATCACATTCTCATGACAGTTAGATAGAAATTGAAAAGAAATAAAATGTCTTGTCTTTCTATATCAACAGTGACCATCTTGAGACGAACAATAATTGTGTTCGGTGAAGTGACAAAAAGAAGAGAATTAAATTCAATCATGTGATTCAAAATACGAAATACATATCAATCGATATAAATATACTCACGCGATATTGTCCATTGATTTAATTTTATCAACATGATGATGTTCTATAGTTCATTCAATGTTGTTTTTTCATCTAAAATGAGAATAATAAAAAAAAACATATGCAACATGGTAGGACTGTTGGAATGAAATTATCTTGAAGCAAAGCCAATGTAATGTTCTCTTCCTTCTTTAACAGAAAAGAGACATTCATTCAATATTAGAATGAGACAGAAAGAAGGCAAATTTTTTTTTCCTTTTCATTGATTGTACTCTCGAATGGACAACAGAATATAGAGAACGATGAAGAAACAGATTGAACGACGACCATCGAACAGCATAGAGGAAAAAAAGACGATCGAGGGCAGTACACCTCCGGGCGGGGTCAAAATA